TGAGGTTCTACTGTATATGAATGCGTAGGATAGTTTCAAAGGCCATTCATTTAAAAGATTTGAATAATGGAACTTTAAGCCATATGAAATTTCATAGACAAGGGAGATACACAATCTCTTCATATTGACGTCTCATTACCTCAAAAATCATACATCTGATCTGATTTCAAAAATAAAGCTTATTCGATGATGAACACATTTGATCTCAAAACAACTGTATATCATTTAGAATTTTCTTTTACAAGTAATGCTATTATGCTAGGAAGGACTTAGCTCATGTTTGGTGGAAATTAAAATCAGATTTTTAGTAGATTTTGATAGAAGTTGATGAAATGTGTGGTTGAAAATGTGAAATGATAAAATTCCACATCGAATAAAGATGAAAACATAGACCAATTTATAAGAGTTTGGGCAACTCTTCTTAATAAGGTTGATCTTTTAAGATGGAACCTCAAATCTTAACAGAAAAGTTGTGGAACCCATAAAATATGCGGTTGAAATGAAATATTAACTTTGATTTAGATTAAAAATCGGTATTAAGCGGGGGCTTAGTTTCCTTCTTCAGCCTTTTATTACTGTTCTGAGAATGATCTTAACGTCTTGACATATGAAATGAAGTAATTGAAGGGAATAATATTTTAGATTACTCATTATGTAAGTTATTTTGTATGCTTTTCTTGCAGAGACCTCAGCTTCAACAACCTAAGCGGACCAATTCCTGAAAACTTTTATGGTCTGTCAGATGTAGATCACATGTAAGGATTTCAATTATCAAGACTAAACTTTCCAGCTCAACGCCATATAATGCCCATATAACTTTACAATAAGTATACATAAAAGGTCTAATTTAAGTGAGCAAATTACGAATGAATATTTTTAAGCTATCTACAGAAGTAGCTTCACGTCTTCTGTCAAAGAGTTTAAAAAATCCTTTCTTGCCCTCTACGGCCTTCTTGTTCCCTTTTTCTTCAGGGTGTTTCTGGGGGCAGTGGTCCGAGGCTCCGAGCCTCGAACCATTAAATTTTTTTCTTAATTTTACTACACTAAATTTGGCACATTATTTCCCATTAAATTATAATTCATTTTTCTATCTCTTATTAGCGACCATACATTCTCCAATAAAATAATGTTACACGTAAACCCAAATAAATTTTCTTGTTTTTTAACCACACATTCTTCAAAAAATTACTATTCCTCTCATTATAACGTGACATAATGAGGGCAAAACAAGCTTGTCTCTTATTTTTGTCAAATGAAGTTATTCCCACATTTGAGTTGTCAAAATCAATTCTCTTTGAGCTTTGTTGTTACTCCACGG